CCTTCTCCCCAAACAGTGGGCTTTTCCTTCGAAGAACAGCTTCAGAGCAGGCTGTGTCCAAAACACAGTTCTGATGAAGTCCAAAGGCTAAAAAATTGTTAACAAGCACTCTCCTCCTGGCTAGTCAGCTGGCCCGGTTTTATAAAACATTACAGGGATTGCTCAGCCTTGCCTTTTTTGTTTTTTTCCACACTCTGTGAGCGCCTCCTGAGTACAATCACCCCAGGCTATTTGCTGCTGGCTTAAGTATCCCCCCTCCCCACCCCCAGAATAAAAAGAACGAAATACAGGAGAGAACGGTGGAGATTATAGCCTGAAGCAGATTTTAGGATACCAACAGACAGCTTCATCCTTACCCTGCTTGGGCTAGGTTTGCAGGGTCATCTTTGAAGATTTTGTAAATGAAGCTGAAGAGGAAGGAAGACGGCACTGTTGCAACTCAAGCCCAGCTGCAGAGATTGGGCATGGCGGCTGCATTCAAGGTCTCTGAAGTAACCAACCACCCAGCCTTGCCTTTCAGTAGCCTGTTGAGAGAGCATCAGCCATGCCCTGGATACGCTTCACTGTTGACCACAGTAGCAATCACAACAGCTGCCAGAACAGGCCTTGATTAACAGGCCTTGAAAAGCTTTGGCAAATGGGCATCAGACTAGACCCGGGTTCAAGTCCCCACTTGACCATGGAGGTTGCTGGGTGACCCTGGGCCAGTCACTCTCTCTTTCTCTCAGCCTAACCTGGTTCTGAGAACTTGCTGCGAGGATACCATGGAGGGGCCTTCCGTTACTCAGAAGAAGCAGGGGATGAAAACAGAATGGAAGAAGTACACTTCTTTGCGCCTCAGATCAAAAACAGATGGACCCACTGGGATGTACTTTTATGTTTCATAACTGGAAACACATGTGATGTGCTGGAAAGGTCCTGGTAGTATTTGGCCACAAAGGAAAGATGGCCCTTTAATATTTTCTCTCTCAGCTTGCAATAGGAGGAGACTTAAATTTTAGCACAGAGTCTGTTCACATGGTCCCAGAAACTACTACTTTCTAAAACATTGCTTCAGAACGACAGAATGTCAATGTCACAAAAAAGTTACATGGCAAAGAATGGAACAACCACATTAAACTTCCCTTGTTTGCGTTATCGGTTTATTTTAATTTATTTAACTCATTTATACCCCACCTTTCTCCCCAATAAGGAACCAGAGCAGCTTATAGCATTCTCCTCTCCTTCATTTTATCCTCATGTCAGCGCTGTGAGGTAGGTCAGGCTTAAAGTGTGTGACTGGCCGAGGTGAGCTTCCATAGCACAAGTGGAAATTCGAACCTGGGAAAGTCTCCCAGATACTAATAATAGAATAATAGAATCATAGAGTTGGGAGGGGCCATACAGGCCATCAATATCATGGGAGTACCACCTGGAAATGTGTTGATTCCATCTTGAATTTATGATATCTGTAACTGATTGAGCACGGTTTTAAGTGTTGGATGTTCTTATTATGTTTTATATGTTTTAATTATGGCACGGCTAATTACCTTGCCCTTGTTAGCCGCCCTGAGCCCATTGGGGAGGGCGGGATACAAATGTGAAAAATAAATAAAATAAATAAATAAATCAAGTCCACCTCCCTGCTAATGCAGGATCAGCCTAGAGCATCCCTGACAAGTGTTTGTCCAGCTGCTGCTTAAAGACTGCCAGTGAGGGGGAGCTCACCACCTCCCTAGGCAGCTGATTCCACTGTTGCATGACTCTTACTGTAAAAAAGTTTCTCCTAATAGTCGGCTGGCACCTTCTCACCCTTAATTTAAACCTGTTATTGCGAGTCCTATCCTGCTGCCAACAGGAATGGCTCCCTATCCTCCTCTAAGTGACAGCCCTTCAAACACTTCAAGAGAGCAATCATGTCCCCCCTCAGCCTCCTCCTCTTCTCCAGACTGAACATTCCCAAGTCCCTCAAGCCTTTCCTCACAGGCCTTGGTCTCCAGGCCCCTGATCATCCTCGTCGCTCTCCTCTGCACCCGCTCCATTCTGTCCATATCGTTTTTGAAGTGAAGCCTCCAGAACTGCACACAATACTCCAGGTGAGGCCTGACTAATGCAGTGTATAGTGGGACTATGACATTGGATTTGGATGTGATGCCTCTGTTGATACACCCTAAGATTTTATTTATTTATTTATTTATTTATTCCATTTATACCCCACCCTCCCTGCCGAGGCAGGCTCAGGGCGGCTTACATACAATGCATATATAAATACAATTAAAATCCATCATAAAAACAATCAAAACCCATAAACAAATCAGTCGCATTAGCCTTTTTTGTCAGCTGGGCTGAGAAATTGAGTCAGCTTTCAGTTGTTTGCCCTCTGTGGTGTATGGGTTTGTGACAAATACTGTTGTTCATTTACAATTCTACCTGGGATATTTCAATCCCATCTTCTAAGGAGATCAAGGCACTGTAGGGTGTTCTGCTTTCCCCATTTTATCTTCACAAGAACCCTGTGAGGTGGGTTAAATAGATGTGACTGGCCCAAGGTCATCCAGCCAGCTTCCTGGCAGAGCAGGGATTTCAGCCCAAGTTTCCCAGATCCTTGTCTGACACTGACTTTTGCCCAAGCCACAGAATTATCATTTTCATGCCTTTATAAATGGGAGAAGTTCGAACAATGAAGAGGTGTGGCAGCATCTCACAATCCATAACGGCTGGTCTAGGGAGGGAGGTCTTTGGCCACTGTCACACCAGCTGCAGGCTGAAGGCTTTCTGCCAATTTCTTGCCATCCTGAAGCCCGCTTCTTTAGAACTTGTATGACCTCTTGGTCATATATATTGCAGGCTGGAGGGCTAACCCAACCATCAAAGTTAACTACATTCGTGGCTTGAGGCAAACTAGTTTTCCTTTTCTGAAGACGCTACAGGGGACTAGCAGTCAGGCTACATACACCTAGCACTCGCCTCTGGGCAAAGTCTTGAATCCTGGGGCTTGAGGATTTGAGCTTGTGAAGACATAGTTGCTTTGCCATATTCCCAAATGTATATTTCATAATGACACACTTCATTTTACTATGAATTGGGCAAGGCTGACTGGCCAGCTCAGCATTCATGAAGCAATCATACCAGAGTCCCACTGTCTGAGTTCAGAAAACAGGTAATGCAAAATAAACCGCAGCCAGTTCCACCGTGAGAACTGGAGCTCTCCGTACAGCTGTTTCTGTGGAAGTCACGGACACGGCAAATTTGATTCATCTTCAGGACTGTATCTCATGGATAGCACAAACGTAAGGGAAGCCTAGGCACCCTTCCGCTCACATAACGCAATTAAAAAATTCCCCTTCTGCCACTGACAAATTATCACAGTGTGCCACTTTCACCCTTCTGTGTTTTCAAAATAAAGCTTAACGAAAGAAAGGAGACCTCCATATTTCTCAATGGAAAAGGCCACTTGTTTGGATTAAGCAGCTAAGATGCTTTTTGCTGAGTGTTGGCACAGAGGCATCCACTAAGATCTGCAAATAAAATCATAGCGGCTTCAAGTCAGACAAAAAAGGGTTCAGAATATTTCACCGATGAGTGGACCATCCGGATGATACAACATCCTGCCTGGAGCCCTCTGCACTTTCATAACAGTAGTTTTGCTTCCTGCTACAATGTTTTCGTAAATGGTTCACAAGTGTTTTTCAAGACATTCTTTGGGAGTCTTGCATTGTTCTTAATGAATCCAGATAGCACAGAGGGATGCGGTGGGAGGGGGAGAGAAGAGGAAAAGAGTGACTGGCAGACACACGAATCTTTGCGCCCAGACAGTCATTCCTTCCCCACTGCAAAAGTGCTCTCACTTTTGCAACAGCGAAACAGTAAACAGGTGTTGGGAATTGCTTGCTTGCTATTAATACTGCTTGCTGTTCCCGCCTAAGCAAAAGCGTAATCCAGCCACCTGTTACACGGTTTGATTAGGAGCAGCAAAACTGAGAAAATGAGATTTCTGGAACTCTCAACCCCTAGGATAGCTGGAGGGTCTATTTTATGCAGCCAGCTGGTAAGAATTTTACCGCCCTTCCGGTGAAAATAGGTGTGGTAAAAATGCTGGAGTTATGGGGAGGGGAAGTAAGGGTGTACCCTTAACACAGAATCCCCTTTATAACCTTCACTCCTGAAAAGATCTACAAAGGCTCAGTCTTCATGTGTGCAATTCCCCCCCCCCCCATAGAAAGGAAGTTAGGGGAGGGCATCAAAAAGGCAAGGAGTTGGGGGGACTATGGCCCCTGTGACCTGAGGACTGTGTGATTATCTATATGGCTCTTTGTCACTCAAGAAACAACAAATTATCACACTGAGGAGCTCTACATGGCTGGGTGTAGACACAGTGCATAAGGTCACTAAGGCCTTCTGCCAAAGCTTTCTGTGCCTTTTTATAAGGGAAATCAGAAATGTAGCCGGTGAAGTTTTGCCTGACACAGATTCACAGTGACATGAAAACCAAGGATAGTGACTTTCACACTGATGAAACGCATGGTAGCCCTGCCCGGGGTGGGAGGAGATAGAATTGGCAACTGACTCTAAGAAAGAAAATAACCACTGTAATTTAAAGGTTCCCACATTCAGTGTGGTAATATGACAGGGGAGGGCGAATGTCTGCCCCGCTCCTTTCCCCTTATCTGACACAACAGCCCTGTAAGGTTAGTTTGCCTGAGAGAACCTGACATACCCAATACTCCAGTAGGCTTCCACAGGTCCCCCTCCCCCTCGAACTTTCCAGGACTCGACCCTGTTTTTACTGCCATTAACAAAGCCTTTTGGCTCACCACTGATTCACTGATGGGGGGGGGGGGGACCTTGGGCAGGTCAGCTGCTCTGAGCCAAACCACCCTTACAGGGTTGTTGTGTCAAAGGTGGAGAAAGGAGCGGGACAAACATTCACCCTGGTCTGCTGTGTTTCTAGGGATGGCGCTTTTGTTTTCAAAGTGATCCGTCCGACCGGAAAGGAGGTGACGGACTCGTCCGGACCTTACCTTCAGGGAAGCCTTCTTGACGTGCCCCAGCGCCCGCAGCGCGCTCGGCGACCCCTGCTGGTAGTTGAAGAAGTTGACGGCCGTCTGGGCGGCTCTCTGGACCGGCACGCTGGAGCTGTCGAGCGACCCGCGGCGACTCAGCGGCGAGTCCCGGGCCGATAGCAGGCGGGCCCCTTGGGCCACGAAGCCCGGCGCCGGCGAGAGCACGAGCAGCGCGGCCAGGACGAGCAGGCGGGACCCGCGGCAGGAGGGCGCTTTCAGCGGCTGCATCATGGCGCGAAGGGGGGCGAGTGACTGGAGAGCGCGGGCTTCAGGCACCAGGCGAGCCGAGGGATGGACTGAGCGGCGGCTTCCGTGGGCGCCCGCCCAAGTACCAATGGGCCGGGGCTGTCCCCAGGCCGCCCAGCTGCCCGCCCTCCTCCGGGATGGGTTCCAGCCCCAGCCGGGAGGCTCCTTTCTCGGCAGCGCCTACTCCCTTCCTTCCGCTTTCCTGCTCTGGCTGCTCGCCGGGACCCGGGTCAGGCCGCGCCGCTGGCCCGAAGGTCGCCCACCCGGAGGGCTCCAGGGGACGCGGCCCTCTCCCCTCCCCATTTCTCACCGCAGAAGCATCTGAAACAGTGCGGAGCGGGGGAGCATATCCCGCCCTCCCCGCAAGCAGGCTCAGGGCGGGTTCCAACAATATAAATGCAATACATAATACAATTAATATAATTAGAACCGCTTAAAACAACAGCATAAAATAGCACAAAAGAAGTTTTGGCACTTGTTTTTTGTGCCCATCCTGTCTCCATGTTTTGTTTTTGTTTTTGTTATGGCTAGGGGCCTCAAAACCTGGAAGCAGGCGGAGCCAGAGGTTAGGTTTTGAATGGTCTGCTTTTTCCCTTTGTTTTTACAAGATTCTCCCCCCCCCCCCCCATTGGCATACTCTGAATGTACAAAGCAAGTACACATCCTGTGGATCTCTTCAAAATTTAGGCTTTACTAAGGGCCGAACTATGTTGTAAAGCACCTGATTTGTTTCCCCTCAGAAGCTGTGGTGGCCGCGATTTGGATTGGGGCTGTGATGCTGGAAAAGTTGGGGGCTTAACCCTTCCCCTGTGCAGTTTTCCTGATCAAAATGGACCCAACCCACTCTTGCCTGGCCCCTGACAAATCCCCTCCCCACTACTTTTGAAGAGCAAAAATGATCACGGTTTTAAATTTGCGTTTGATTGGATTTTATATTATATACTGTATTATTATATACTGTATTTTTATATTGTTGTGTAAGCCGCCCTGAGCCGGCCTTGCTGGGAGGGCAGCATAAAAATCAAATAAATAAATGTATCTCCAATAATACCACGTAGCCTACAGTCACACGGGAGGCTTGGCACAAACTGGTGGCACCTCTGTTTACAGCTGTTTAAATCATTGTGGGTAGGGGTGACAAGGCAGCACACCCCAAAGTGGCTTCTCCGCACGTTGGTCCCACACTGAAGCATCCACCCTGCTGGTGCATCATCCACAGAGCTTACGCTCATACCCGCTTATGCACACATCCCTACCGGGTGAAAAACCCACAACTGAGATGGAAGTGACCGTTCACACTTCCCATCTGGCATCTGTTCATCACAGGGGGCGGGTTCAGACGTTGAGAAAAGGGAAGTGGAAGTGATGGCACATGTAAAGACCTGACTTTCCCCAGTGTTGGCAAACTCCATTTCCAGGACAGGCTGGACCTTGGTGCCAACAATTAGGGCACGGAAGGCAGATGTCGTTGTCCGGTTGTGCTCTAAATCCACAAAGGTAACACAGCTATATCGGTGCAAACTGCTCATGTGACTGCAGCCGTAGTTTGGCCTTAATCTGTTTAGTTCCTAGGCAGCCTAAGATTCTGTGGCACCATCTCAACTCAGAGTCCTCAGTTGCGCAAACAAAATACAACACAGATTCTTAAACTGTGTGTGCATGCATGTGTGTGTGTGTATGAACTAATGAACAATTCACGGTAGGGTTGCCAGCCTCCTGGTGTCACCTGAAAATCTCCCACTATTACAGTTTATCTCCAGAAAACCATGATCAGTTCCCCTGGAGAAAATGGCTGCTTTGGACTTCCGGTTTATGGCGACATGCTGGCAGATGCATCTCCTGGACCTCCCAGGGATGTGATCTGTGCACCAGTGGAAAGGAGGGGGGACGACGGGTCGCTACCCCTCTGGATCCTTGGGAAAAGGCTCCTAGCCATGGGGCTTTTGAGGGGTGACCTCTTCACCAACGTGATGCTGGGGAATTGAGGTGCTCATCCGCCCCGACGGTCCTGCCGCTGAGTGTCCGTATGGATCTAGAGCCGCTGACTGGGACAAGCATTGGAGATCAAGCGTTTTGAATGTGTGCCGAGTGAGGTCATATGACCAACAATGAACAGTGAGTCGTGTTAAAGCGAATACAAGAATTTAAAAAGAAATCTACCTCCTGGGAATGGTGAAAAAAGCGAGCAGGGGAAGGGCCCCTCCCATGCGCATGAACTAAACAATGAAATACTAAGGGGGGAGCGGAAGAAAAAGCATTGAAATCTGTTTTGAGAGACTTACTAGAGCATGGCTAAGCGTTTGGGCGTATTTCAGAGACTTTAGCAAGTTTTTATAAAAGTAAACAATCCATAAAGATGGCGGGGAACAAGGCAGAGAAAGACAAACCAGCAAAAGTGAAACCAGCCTGGATCTTGAGCCCTCGACTGGAAGAGGTCACTGAGTTCTCGAAAATGTTGGCAAGATTCCTTGCGCCCTCTGCTGACGACTCTAAGCCAGAATCTTGCAACTCAGCAGCTCCTATTGACTGAGACTTTAAAAATAACGGAGCAAAAGGTGCAAAAGCTGGAAAAGAAACAAGTGTTGGAAGAATCACAACTTTTACAGCTGCAAATGGAGAAAGCAAATTTGGTCCTACGGTTTCAAGGGGGTCCCAGAATTAAAAGGTGAGGATTTAAAGCAACTCCTGAGTGAAGCATTAGCCCCAGTTACAGATTTGAAAGCGGAGTATCTTGCAAGCGAAATGGATGTGGTCTATAGGTCTTATTCCATGCACATCAAAACGAATAATCTGCCTGGGGAAATAGTGGCCAGATTCTCAAAGCCACAAGTATTCAACAAAGGACCCAGCAATAATATATCAGTACAAAATCAACATATTGCTGAACAAGTTCTTTATACTTTAACAGTATACTCAAAATTGATATTTTTTATTCCAATGGAAAAACTTCATTGAGAGACCCCACACAACAAGAGCAAGTACGAACTTTCTCGAGCTGACTGTTCGTTTCGACCTTTGTCTTCGTCAGATGTCCTATTAAAGATACATATTCTTAATAACAGGGAAACAACAGTGAGAAGAGTTCTACATAAAAATCTTTTTTTCATTTTTACAATAAAGCCCAAGTATATACATACAGTTTCTGGTGTTTTCTATTCAGATTTTCCAATAATTCCAACAATAAGTGTATACATTTCTATAAATACAAACAAACTTACATTAGTCATTCCTAACTGACCTAATGATATTCATATAGAAATTACAAAAGTACTGTATTAAAATACACAACTCACCAAGGATGGCTATTCATAGCTCCCTCATTCACAAACTTTACTTCCGGATAATGAATCTTAAAATCCTATACAACAGTGTAGATTATATCCTGTCCTACTACATCACGTGGTGCGGGGAGGCCAACATACCGTATACCCATAGCACCCTATGCCTAATAGTAACTACAAGTAACTACAATGAAAAACAGTGTATCCATAGATATTCAAACATCCATCTATTCATTCGAGCTGCCTTATTGCTATTAGAGAATCACACAAGTCTTCTCATATCTACATGGCTATAAGGTGTAAGTTTTTCTATTGGAATAATGAAGTTTTTTTATTGGAATAAAAATATCAATTTTGAGTATACTGTTAAAGTATAAAGAACTTGTTCAGCAATATGTTGATTTTGTACTGATATATTATTGCTGGGTCCTTTGTTGAATACTTGTGACTATTGAAATTGGGACCATGTCTACTCTAAACCAGAGATTTGCCTTCTCAGAGGAGGAGAGATTAAGAATATTGGGGAACAACTCAGGACTAAGAAGGGATAATAGAAGTCCATCAGTCTGGACCCAATTAGATTTTTTAAACAGAAAAGAGATCCGCATGTCTCTCCATGCGGCATCTCTCTCGGAATATTGTAAAGCAGACCTTATACCTAGGGGAATTTTGGAAGTATTACAGCTAGGTTTAGGATTTGTGTATTCTCCTTCATATCATGCATTCCAGACTAGGATTGACATCTTCAAACTTGTGAGACAAATTAAACTGAAAGTCATGTTTGAAAGTTCTACTACAATAGATGTCAACCCCTTTAAATTAAAATCTCAGTTTAACCCTACGATTTACCACCAGTCTATCTCAGTCTTTGAACGACGGGTGCTGGAGGATATTGTTAGAATGGAATGTAAGGGAATATCTGCAAATTATAATATTTCGAGATACCATTGGAATTGCCTCACTGAACTTGCAAACATGGATAATATCATTATTAAAAGTGCTGATAAAGGTGGGGCTATAGTCATACAAGATAAAGAGAAATATATAGCGGAAGCTAGTAGACAATTGAACAACTCTGACTTTTACAACAGTATTGATTATGACCCCACCAATGAGATTAGCAGAATTATAGCTACTACTATCAATGAAGGACTAGCGTTTGATTATATTTCGGCACAAACTGCAGAATACCTGCATAAAAAATACAACAGGGTTCCAATATTTTACATCCTTCCTAAAATTCATAAATTTGGTGACCCTCCCCCAGGTAGACCCATAGTCTCGGGAGTAAATTCTATACTGGAACCACTGTCCAAATATGTGGACTCCTTCCTTCAGCCAGCGGTGGGTGAGTTGGCTTCATATATTAAGGACACACAGAGTTTTATTCAACTTATAGAAAATAGGGAAATCCCTAGGGGAGCAGTACTTATGACCATGGACGTGGGGGCGCTTTATACCAACATCCCCCACGAAGAAGCCAGACTGACCCTCCTCAACACATTGGAAAAAAGGCCGTACAAAATTCCCCCAACACACTTTTTGCTAGACCTGGTGGATATTATTTTTGAGAAGAATTATTTTCGTTTTGGAGTGGATTTTTATTTTCAGATCAAGGGTGTAGCAATGGGAAGTTCGTTTGCACCTAGCGTGGCTAATTTATTTATGGGGACTTTTGAGGAGCACTGGATTACTAACGATATTATTAATCCTTTTTTCAAGAATATTATTTTGTTCAAACGGTATATTGAGGATTGTTTTCTTATTTTGGATCATATAGAAATAGTGCAGCCTTTTTTCCAATGGATCAATTCTGTACATACATCAGTTAAGTTTACCTATTGTGCCAGCCCTTCTGAGATCAATTTTTTAGATACAACTGTCTTCATTCGGGATGGGAGATTAGCAGTTCGTCC